TCTGCCTCAGCCTCCTGAGAAGCTGGGATTACAGGCACGCGCCACCATGCCCAGCTAATTTTTTGTATTTTTAGTAGAGATAGGGTTTCACCATGTTGACCAGGATGGTCTCGATCTCTTGACCTCATGATCCACCTGCCTCAGCCTCCCAAAGTGCTGGGATTACAGGCATGAGCCACCACGCCCAGCCTATGTGAGAGTTTTAAGGTCAATGTTTAAAGCAGAGTTCTTGGATCAGAGGGTGTGTATGTCTTCAACTTCATTAGACCTTGTCAAGTTGTTCTCCAAATTGGTTGTCTTAAGTAACCTGAGACACATAACATTCAAAAATCGCATGGGCCTAAAAGAATTACTATTTCTCCCTGACTGTTCCGATCACAGAAAGTCAGGAAAGGTCATTCTCTATGCGAGCTAGCACACAGTGGAATGACACCTTCAATGTACTAAACAGAAAACAAAACAAAAAGCCCTGTCAAATGAGAATTCCATACTCAAAGAAAATGCCTTTCAAAAACAAAGGTGAGACACTTTTTCCGATCTACAAAGGCCAAAAGAATTCCTCAGCAGCAGACTTGACTCTGCAAGAAATGTTACCGGAAGTCTTACAAGCAGAAGGAAAATGATACAAAATGGAAAGTTGGATCTACCTAAAGGATAAATAGCACCAGAAATAACAACTATATAGGCAATTTAAAGACCTTTTTCTTCTTAGCTAAGTCCCTTTAAAAGATAATTGCCTGTTTAAAGCAAAAATAATTTAATAATTATGTACAGGTCAATCTAACAATATTACAAAGGGAAGGAGGGGAGAAATATAAGTATACTGTAGTAAAATTCTGGGTTTTTTTTTTTTTTTTGAGACAATGTCTCATTCTGTCACCCAGGCTGGAGTGCAGTGGCGTGATCACCACTCACTGCAGCCTCAACCTCCCAGGCTCAAGTGATTCTGCGGCCTCAGCCTCCTGAGTAGCTGAGACTAGAGGCCTACACCACTACCGTGCCCGGCTAATTTTTGTATTTTTCATACAGATGAGGTTACATGTTATCCAGGCTGGTCTCGAACTCCTGAGCTCAAGCGATCTGCCCGCCTTGGCCTCCAAAAGTGCTGGGATTACAGGCCTGGCCTTGTAAGATTTTTATATATGAAATGATATGATATCAGTTGAAAGCGAACAGTAGTAAGTTAAAGGTGCGTATTATAAAACCTAACGCAACCACTCAAATAGCACAACAAAGAGTTACAGCAATAAGTCGACAGAGAAGATAAAAATAGTCATGAAAAATACCCAATTACTAAAACAAAACAAACAAACAAAAAACAGAACAAGAGGGAAATGTGAGTCAAAAATAGATGGGAGAAATAGGAAACACAGAAAAATGGCAGATTTCAAGCTAACCATGTTAATCATGATAAATTAAAACATGCTAAATGCTGAAACTAAAGCAGGGACTGCCATGTTGGATTAAAAACAGCAAGACTCAACTATGTATTCTACGTAAGAAACCCACATTGGGCCGGGTGCCGTGGCTCACGCCTGTAATCCCAGCACTTTGGGAGGCTGAGGGGGGTGGATCGCTTGAGGTCAGGAGTTCAAAACCACCCTGGCCAACATGGTGAGACCCTGTCTCTACTAAAAATACAAAAAAAAAAAAAAAAAAGCACTAGCCAAGTGTGGTGGTGCACACCTGTAGTCCCAGCTACTCAGGAGGCTGAGGCAGGAGAACTGTTTGAACCCAGGTGGTGGAGGCTGCAGTGTGTCAAGATCAGGCCACTGCACTCCAGCCTGGGTGGCAGAGTAAAACTCCATCTCAAAAAAAAGGGAAAACAAAAAAGAAGAAAGAAAAAGAACCCACTTTAAATATAAAAACATAAATAGGTAAAAGGCAAAAGGATGAGAAAAGATATGCCAGGCTGATATTTGTCAAAACAAGACTGAAGTGATTATATTAATACCAGAAAAAGCAGATTTCAGAGCAAAGAATATTACCAAGAATAAAGAAGATAATTTCATAATGACTAAAAGGTCAGTTCATCAAGATGACATAATCTTAACGATTTATACACCTCGAAACAGAGCTTCAAAATACACGAAGCAACAACTGACAGAACTGCAAGGAGTTATAGTCAGATCCACAATCATAGTCTGAGATTACAGAACCTCTCTCTCCATGACTGAGAATAAAATGAAAATCAGACCCAGTGGTTTAGTTCAACCGGAGTAGAAAGTGCAGGAAAGGAGTGAGGGAAGATGAGTTCACTATCCTGGAGGGTAGTGAAGCCGAAACATAAAACAGAGATGAACTCAGTAACTCTGGGGGCCACGGGGGTGGGCCTGTTCAGTGAACGCGAAGCTCTCCTACTACTCCCCATAATTAGGACAAATGATTTCCTGTTTCCATAGTCTCAGTTACCCTTTTTATTTTTGTATAAACAATCTACAAGTACGCGCCAGAAATATGGTTGCCCTTTAATCACACAGAACTGGTCCAAAGCAGAATCCTTTGAATTGTGTGAAGCCGAGCTAAGAGGACCTTCTTTTTAGTCAAGTCTTAGTTCCATCTCTGAGACGGCGGAAACATAAGGAAATGATGTAAGACACCATAAATTAAAGGATACTGAAGAATGAACAGAGGTCCTGAGGAGATAGTCCATCTGTCTACCCATCAACTACCCATCATCCATCCATCCATCACCTATCCATCACCCATCCATCCATCCATCACCCATCAACTACCCATCATCCATCCATCCATCGTCCATCTACTCACTCACCTAATAATTATTAACACCTTGGTGGGAGGAAAGTTTACCTGTGCCCTTCTGACTCTTAGTCCTATTCAGGAACAACTGAGACCTCATACCTTGTTTGCCTTTAGGGAAAATTACCATCAAGGCACACACAGATTATACCTTGGGGTACACTCAGGCAGTAACAGACATCCTTTTGCATGAATAATGGTCTATCTTGTCAATTCAAGCCATTTAATTTTAATTTTAACTTTTTCATTAAGACAGAGTCTCACTCTGTTGTCCAGGCTGGAGTGCAGTGGTGTGATCTTGGTTCACTGCAACCTCCACCTCCCTCCCGGGTTAGTGATTCTCCTGCCTCAGCCTCCTGAGTAGCTGGGATTATAGGCACTTACCACCACGCCCGGCTAATTTTTTGTATTTTTAGTAGAGATGGGTTTTCACTGTGTTAGCCAGGATGGTCTCAATCTCCTGACCTCGTGATCTGCTGGCTTCAGCCTCCCAAAGTGCTGGGATTACAGGCGTGAGCCACCACGCCCGGCTTTAAAGTATTTTAAATTAACCTTAAAAAAAGCTAACAAACCCACATCATCCAGCCTGACAAGGGTACAAAAAGGAAAACAAAATTATCTCATCTGTCCTTGTCCCACAACCACCCACTTCTCCTCCCAAGAGCAACCCTTTCTAATAGTTTCTTATGTGTCCTTTCAAAAATAATTTATGCATTTACAAGCATACATATATGCATGTAATGCGTATCTATTAAATGCATTATATGTATTATGCATTATATGCATTATATATATTATGCTTGTAAATGCATATATATTAAAAATCATCTATTATTGATCAAAGTTCACTGTGGACTTTAACTGATACACGCACACACACAATCTTGTTAAGTGCCTTAAAGAACAGAGGCGAGGCCAGGTTCTGTGGCTCATGCCTGTAATCCCAGCACCTTGGAAGGCCAAGGCGGGCGGATCAGGAGGTCAGGGGTTCGAGACCAGCCTGACCAACATGGTGAAACCCCATCTCTACTAAAAATACAACAGATTAGCTGGGTGTGGTGGCGTATGCCTGTACTCCCAGCTACTCAGGAGGCTGAGGCAGGAGAATCACTTGAACCCGGGAGGCAGAGGTTGCAGTGAGCCGAGATCAAGCCACTGCACTCCAGCCTGAGTGACAGAGCGAGACTCTGTCTCAACAAAAAGAGAAAGAAAAGAAAACAGAGTCTAAGGCAAAGCTTCTGTGCTAACCCTTTATGGAGGGACGATCCCAGGGCACAGCATGAATTAGAGGAAAATGGAAGCCAGACGGTGTGCTAATTTCCAAGTGCTGTTAGTATATACTGGATGTCTTAAAACAACAAAAAGGTATTCTCCCACAGTTCTGGGGGCTAGAAATATGAGGTCAGTGTGCTGGCAGAGCCATACTTCCTTGGAAGCTTCTAGGAGGAGGATCTTTCCTTGTCTCTTCCAGTTTCTGGTAGTCCCAGACATTCTTTGGCTCATGGTGGACTAATACCCAGCTTGGCCTCTGTGGTCACATGGCATTCTCCCCTTACATCTGTGTCTGTGTCTGTGTCTGTGTGTCTTTCATCCTTTTTTTTTTCTGAGACTGTCACCTAGGCTGGAGTGCAGTGGCGTGATGTCAGCTCACTGCAAACTCTGCCACCCAGGTTCAAGCCTCCTGAGTAGCTGGGATTACAAGCCCATGCCACCAAGCCCGGCTACTTTTAGTATTTTTAGTAGAAACGGGGTTTCACCATCTCGGCCAGGCTGGTCTTGAACACTCGTGACCCTGTGATTCACTTGCCTCAGCCTCCCAAAGTGCTGGCATTACAGGCGTGAGCCACTGCGCCCAGCCTCTCATTACACCAGTCACACTGGCTTAAGGACCCACCCAACTCCAGGATCACCTCATCTTTCATTACATCTGCAACAACCCTATGTCCAATTAAGTTCATATTCTGAGATGCTGGGGGTTAGGACTTCAACATGTGTTTTTGGGGGCACAATTCAACCTGTAACAGGCAGGAAAGTAATCACATGATGATGTCCCCGAGCCGGCTGAAGCTTCAAGAGAAACACAAACATTTGGGGTCAATGGCAGACCTCGAGAGAGGCACCTGGAGCCACTGTGCCTTAAAACCGCCTTTCTGAGATGTGAGGAAGAAAAGAGTTAACCTGCAGGATCATATCATCTCCCCTCTCCTTCATCAAAGTTCGCCCACGGGGCTTCAACTCACCCGTATTTTTAGACGGTGTTCCTGCCTCCTCCGATTGGCCACTAGAGAAGCCAAATCCCACGGCCCGTGGCGTAACACTTCTTCCAAGTCAGGAAGTGTTGGGGGCGCCAGGCAGGGCCTCAGTGGGCCTGGGCAGGGTAGGTCCAGCGCTCAGGCGCAGAACCATGAAGGGGAGGTTCCAACAGTGCCCGTCGCAGGGGTGTTCCCAGGGCCAGCCTGCCTTACAATGGCCTCTGAGTCCCAAATCGTCATCCTTCACATGGATTGGACACTTAATTCTCTTAATTTATGTGTCAGAAACTACCAACAATTATCAGGCATCCATTAAGGGCCTCAAGGCAGACTTTGAAAAAGCTGACAACCCCTGTGAGCGTCAGCAGCAGTGTGGGAGTCTTAACACCTTCTACAACTTTCAGCTGGTTTTTATTGAGCTCCTACTATGTGCTCACCGTGGAAGGCACTAGGAATATCGCAGACAAAGGAGCCTGCGTTCAAGGGGGAGAGGGACAATAAACAAATGTTAAATGCAATTATAATAGGGCCCCCATCAAGGAAATACAGGGAATGAAAAGATCCAGCTTTGCCTACGTTGCTGTTTATATTCTCCTCTTAACTTTAAAATATCAAACAAGAACATGTGGAAAATCTGGAGATGTTAAGGGCAGTACAGGATGCTATGTGTTCCTTTTATTATTGATCAGACGGGAGCTGCACTGAGGCAAAGGCAATTTTGTGGGTTGGAGGGGAAGTAGGTCATAAATACTTTGGCCTGGTCTGGATAGCTTAGGGCGTCCTAAATTCAAGGAAACTCAGCCCAGCACAGGAGTCTGACTGTATTGTGCATCCTAACTTCTTGGAGAGCTTGTTTAAAATGGTAGCTTCCTGGAGCCTACGCTCTGGGGTTGATTCCCACTGTGGGATAGGGGGATCCCACTGGGGCTCTCAATACATTTCTGTTGAATGAATGAATTCCAATGCAGGCAATGCAAGGATCACACTTGGATCTAGAGAGGGAGGCAGGGGAAGTTCCTTCCATCCCATAATGTTCCCAGGGGCATCCTGTACTTGGGCAAGGCGAAGGAAACCCTGTTCCCTCCTTGTCCCTCATATGTCCTGCAGCCTCCTCCTCCTCCTCCTAGGACCCAGAATTGAGGCTGGCAGTATTTACACTCTAGGTCAGCTCTATTTGGAGTTAAAGTTTTGAGAGTTGGCCTGGGCACTTAACCAAGATTTATAGCATTATTTCTACTGGAAGCTAATTGAGATTCAAACACCAATTTAAGACATGAACTTCTTAATTTACAAAAAAAAAAAAAATGGCACACGTAAAACAGTGAAATTTTATGTTATACAAATCACACCTCATTAAAACTATTTTTTAAAAGTGACAAGCAGATCGCAAGATGACCCAGCGATGCTCCCTTACATTTGTGAAGCAGTTCATAGCATAAAACGTTTTAGGGCCGGGCGCGGTGGCTCACACCTGTAATCCCAGCACTCTGGGAGGCCGAGGCAGGTGGATCATGAGGTCAAGAGATCGAGACGATCCTGGTCAACAAGGTGAAACCCTGTCTCTAGTAAAAATACAAAAGTTAGCTGGGCATGGTGGCGCACGCCTGTAGTCCCAGCATTTTGGGAGGCCGAGGTGGGTGGATCACGAGGTCAAGAGATCGAGACCATCCTGGTCAACAAGGTGAAACCCCATCTCTACTAAAAATACAAAAATTAGCTGGGCATGGTGGCGCGTGCCTGTAATCCCAGCTACTCGGGAGGCTGAGGCAGGAGAATTGCCTGAACCCAGGAGGCGGAGGTTGCGGTGAGCCGAGATCGCGCCATTGCACTCCAGCCTGGGTAACAAGAGCGAAACTCCGTCTCAAAAAAAAAAAAAAAGTTTTTATTATCCCATGTAAGATTTGCCACGTCCTCCGGAGCAGATACTGTAATTATTTTTGTTTGATACTGGAGCAAACTGTTTTTTTGTTTTCTATTTTCTTTTTTTAATTTTTTTTTCTTTTTTTTTGTCCTTTTGGAGCAAACTGTTGTTAGTGACTTAAGTAGAAGGTTAACAGCTCCTTCACTGCACTTCACGATTCCTTTGGCCACCATATCTTAGGTCTGTGAACACCTTTCTTCAGGTAGAATAAACTCGGGAACAGAAAGAGGGTCCAGGCACCTGTTTTTCTTGTCTGTTTATCTGTTGTATCTTCGAGCTGGTCTTTTCTCTAGTTACTCACTTTGCTGATTGTGTGTGCTTGGTGGAGGCTCTGGGTGAAGCCCCTGGAGAAGCTGCTTCAGCCTCAGCCATTCATTCAAGTCTTAGGGTCAGGGGTTAATTCTTAATTGGAATAGCACTGGGAGTCGGTTTGGAGGGGTGGGTTGAGGGCAGGTTAAGGAGTTTGAACCACATCTGTAAGCCAATCATTTTCATCCTTAGCTGTGCCTCAAAATCACTTATGCCCAAGCTTTTAAAAACACATAGGCTGGGCCAGGCGTGGTGACTCACGCCTGTAATCCCAGCACTTTGGGAGGTCAAGGTGGGTGGATCATGAGATCAGGAGATTGAGACCAGTGTGGCCAACATGGTGAAACCCTGTCTCTACTAAAAATACAAAAAAATTAGCTGAGCGTGGTGGCGAGTACCTGTAGCTGCAGCTACTGGGGAGGCTAAGGCAGGAGAATCGCTTGAAACTGGGAGGAGGAGGTTGCAGTGAGCCAAGATCCTGCCATTGCACTCCAGCCTGGGTGACAGAGCGAGACTCCATCTCAAAAAAAAAAACACATAGGCTGGGGTCCAAGACCAGTTCTACGAAATCAGATTTGGGTCATAATGTTACCTAGTAGGGTTGACATTCTTGCTGTAGGCAGTGAGTGCGTAGTTTTTGAAGGAAGGGAGTGACAGCACTGTTTTAGGAAGATTAATTTGGCAATTGTAGGAGGGAGAGGGGAAAGGAAGAAAATTGGAGGCAGGGAAACTAGTTAGGAGGCTCCAGAAATAGACTCGGGATAGATGTGCTAAGACCTGAAACTGGCTGGCGATGAGAACACCATGTGGAAGGCAGCTGGAAGGGCCCTGTGACACTTGGGTGTCGGGGGAGGGCCGGGGAGTGAGGAAAGAAAGATAAAAAGTCAATGGTTTTCGGCAAAACCCACTAAAGCAAAGACTTCTTTATTTGGGAGAGTGAAACCTACAGCAATGGATTCGGTGTTTCCTTACTGTCAGCAAGCCTCAGTGATCAATAGGGTCCAGGATTTGTGTCCTTCCTTTCTCTTCTTCTTTTTTCTTTCTTCTCTTTTCCTTTCCCTCCCTTCCCTCCTTCTTTCTTTCTCTTTTTCTTTTCCTCCCCCACTCCCTCTCTCCCTTCCCTCCTTCCCTCATATCCTTTCCTTCCTTTTTTTTTTTTAGCAGAGTTTCACTCTGTTGCCCAGGGTAGAGTGCAGTGGCACAATCGTGGCTCACCGCAACCTCCACCTCCTGGGTTCAAGCGATTCTCCTGCCTCAGCCTCCCAAGTAGCTGGGATTACAGGTGCCTACCACCACACCCAGATAATTCTGTATTTTTAGTAGAGACAGTGTTTTACCATGTTGTCCGGGCTGGTCTCAAACTCCTGGGCTCAAGCAATCCTCCTGCCTGTGCTTCCCAAAATGCTGGGATTTCAGGCATGAGCCACTGTGTCCAGTCACGGTCTACAGTTATTTTCTAGAGGGACTCAGCACTATGTCAACAGGGGTGCAAGGCAACAGGAAAAACCTGGTGTCTTCCTTTTTTGTTTTTTGAGACGGAGTTTCGCTCTTGTTACCCAGGCTGGAGTGCAATGTCGCGATCTCGGCTCACTGCAACCTCTGCCTCCTGGGTTCAGGCAATTCTCCTGCCTCAGCCTCCCGAGTAGCTGGGATTACAGGCACACACCACCACGCCCAGCTAAATGTTTGTATTTTTAGTAGAGACGGGGTTTCACCATGTTGACCAGGATGGTCTTGATCTCTTGACCTCGTGATCCACCTGCCTCGGCCTCCCAAAGTGCTGGGCTTACAGGCGTGAGCCAGTGTCTTTCTTTAGAGCAAGGTTTGGCAAAATTTGACTATAAAAGAGCAGTAGTAAATATTTTAGGCTTTGCAGGTTGTTACATGGTTTCTGTAGCAACGCTCTAACTGCTGTCCTAGTGTCAGAGCAGCCGTGACAACACGTAAGTGAACGGGCATGGCTGTGTTCCAATAAAAGCTTATTTACAAACACAGGTGCCAAGCTGGATTTAGTCTGGAGCCTATAGCTTGCCGATGCCTGGTCTAGAGCGCTGCTGTTACTGGGAGATTTCAAGGGAAGGGTTTTTCTTTTGGTGATGAGGTCTTGCTCTGTCATCCAGGCTGGAGTGCAGCGGTGCGAACTGAGCTCACAGCAGCCTTAACCTCCCAGGCTCAAGTCATCCTCCCACCTCAGCCTCCCAAGTAGCTGGGACTGCAGGCATGTGCCACCACACGTGGCTAATTGAATTTTTTATTATAGAGATGGGGGTCCCCCTATGTTGCCCAGGCTGGTCTCAAACTCCTGGACTCAAGCAGTCCTCCTGCCTCAGCCTCCCAACATGCTGGGGTTATAGGCATGTGCCTGACATAAGCATTGTTTTTGAAACCCGAGTTTTTACATGATCTCCAGTTTCCAGCATTACCTTTTCTTTAACATCGGTTAGGTCATTCTCGCATTGCTATAAAGAAATATCTGAGACTGGGTAATTTATAAGGAAAGAGGTTGAATTGGCTCACAGGTTTTCAGGCTCTATGAGAAGCATGGCACTTGCATTTGCTACGTTCCTGGGAGGCCTCAGGAAGCTTCCAATCATGGCAGAAGGTGAAGGGGTAGCAGGCATCTCACCTGGTGGGAGCGGGAGCAAGAGAACCAACGGCAGGGAGGTGCCACACACTTTGAAACAACCAGATCCTGTGCGAACTCACCCACTATCGCGAGGACAGCACCAAGCCATGAGGGAGCTGCCCCCAATCATCTCCCACCAAGCCCCACCTCCAATACTGGGGATTACAACTCAACATGGGATCTGGCAGGGACGGAGATCTCTATCAACAGGCAGCCAGTACTGTTCTGCAAATGCAGGCTGTGCAGTGCTGAAGAAAGGGGTGCATTTCGTAATTAATTGCTCAGATGAGCCCCTT